TTTCATTATTTTGTAATTGTCTTCTCCACATGGTACAGCAGTTGTCAAGAGATAATGATGAATTTCATGTTTTGATTTAGCATATTGGTCTAATGCTTCTCTGAGATCCTTAAGTAATATTACATAGTTATTGGCATCTTCCTCATTTTTCGGATATTCCCAATCAACTATAATAATAATAATAAATAATAGTAATATTGGATGATAAAGTAAATTTTTTTTTGTAAGTAAAAAAATACAATAAGATATTCAAACAATAATAAGAAAAAAAAAGAATAATTACTATCTAATCCATCTAAACCCAAATCATTCATTAATTTGATTGCAGAATTAACAAATTTTTCTCTAGAATTATGAGAAGAAGCAACGGCTGAAAAATTAGTGGACCAAGTCCAGCCACCAATTGACAAACTAACTTTAAGATGTCTATTCTTACTCTTCAACAGGTACAATTGTTTGAAATTTCCATACAAATTCTTTACATTGTCATTCCATGAATCACCATCAAAATGAATATCAGTGTCAGACCATGGATCACCCAAAAATACTTCACCATCGTTTTTAATATTTGCAAATGCATACAGTATATGAGTAAGTTTATCGTAGTCTATGTCTTGTACAAAAAATTTTCGTGCATATATTGACCAAGCAGCAAAATAAGCAGCAATGACTTTTCCATGTTCTGTCATTTTGGTTGCTTGTGGAATGGAAGTTTTTGGAGATATTACGTCGATTATATCAATTTGTATGGGTATAATTGGCTTTTCTTGGCATGTAATGTGTTGTTGATTATTTAAAATGATTTGTAAAACTATATTGAACATTCACTGTTACTCAAGTTTGCTTATTTGGGTCAAAACCCAACATTAACAGGGCGAAAAGTCATTTTATTATTATTATTATTATTATTATTATTCGAATTATCGACATTAGAAAAAATTCGAATTTTCTGATAAATTTTGATATGTGTAACATTATAAAAATTGTTGACGCCCATTTTCAAAATATTTTTTTGCCATTTTTCACTATGCAAACGACCTTCCCGCATTAAACAAAAAATTGAAAGCCAAACTAGGACTTCCAAACGACTACTCAAACAAGAAGCTAGCTCAAGTATTGGTTATTCTACGACAAGTTAAAAGCGTTGGTTTTGTTGGCACTTTCCTTAAGATGTTCATAAAACTAGAAGGGTTCATAAAGCAAAGACAATTGCAATGGGTGTATCAGAGTGTGCTCTGAAAAGTTTGTTAAGAACTCTTCGAAGGTTAAATTAGGAAAATTTCAACTTTACTTGTAGGGCCTTGAAATCCTGGTTGATGTAAGATCATACTATTAATTATTTCCTAATGTTAAATATGTCTGGATAGAAATGATACATAATAGAAATAAAAATAAAAATAAGGGTTAATGGTTATGACATTACTATTCATTTCTATTTAATTTTTTTTTTTAATTTTTAGCGACGTAATCTTGTCGTCTTATTGGTGACAGCATAATAATAATGGACATTCAAAATGTTACACTAATTTTTTATGTTGTGTACCGTAATTTTACAATACACTGTGAATGTTGTCTCAATAAAAAATTGCCGATAAAATGGATTTCAATTTGTTCGCAATTTGTTCACGAACCTAGAGAGGCGACAACTATATACTGGTGAAGTTTCAGGAACAACGGGATCTGTGTAACATATTGTATAACGACGAATGTCCACTATGCTATTGGTGACAATGTTAATATTGATAAAAATAATTGTATAATTTTTAGAATTTCGATGTATGCAACCATAATATTTATGATTAATTATCTCGTTTTCCCTTTGTAATGGGAATTCTTGGCATAAATATTGCTTTATCTCTTTGCATTATTCATTAGATAAATCTAGAGGAAAACATTTAAAAAGATAGTATTTTGAATTCATTTACACAATTTCTTCTATCTCTCCATGGAATCCATGACACCAAGGATGCATTGGGATCATATTTTCACCATTAATCTTTTGTTTCAAATTCTGAATGACATCCTTTAGACTAAAATTTGGAATGTTAGTGCTCCAACCTGATGCTATACCTACTGCACCATTGATTAATATCATTGGGATGATAGGAACATACCACCTTGGCTCAACACCAACATACAAATGGTCTAATAAAGCCTCATCAACTTGGGGATAAATTAATTGTGCAAACTTAGTAAGTCTAGTATCTAAATAATCAGGCTCTGCAGTGGTACATCTGTCACCACCATCTTTTCTACTTCCAAATTGACCTATAGGTTCTAGTAAATTAATATTATTTGATCCTACAAAGTTTTGTGCAAGACCAATTATGGTTGAATAAAGACTGGTTATGCTATGGTGATATTCAGTATGTTCAGAAACATAAGCAGCCAGTATAGGTATTTTAATCTGTTCTTTAAGCTGTTCTTTAACTCTTTTAAAGCAACCAAATATAATCTTTCATTGTCCAGTTTTAAAACCATCAATAACTGAAGGTATTGATTTTGAAATAGAAGAAAGTAGATATAGAGACAACTCTTTATTTATATAATCTTCAAATGTTATTTTATTATCTCCTCCATAATTAATACCAGTTCTATTCTCCATAATATCTTTAATCCAAAGTTTATGTTCATAAATTTTATTTTTATTAAATATCATTTCAATAAGTTTACATTCCTTTGCATTTATTGGTTCAAAATTTTTTATATATTTGTCAATGTTCTTGAAATATTCTACCATCTCATTGTATGAATTAGATCCAAGTCCCTTGTTATGTTTCAGGGTTGGCAAATGTGCAGTCCATTGATGGTCTATTGGGTGGTCCATTGGGTCCATTAGTGTAACACTTTAACCATATTTAGTATTTAATTAATGGTAATGGACCAATCCAAAATCCATTTATTCTCAATGGACCAGTCAATTTGCCAACCCTGTTATGTTTAATATTCCAATCTTTTCCAATGTTATTATGGATTCTCCAATTTTTATATTCTGATGATGTAAAAAATAATAATGTTTCATTATTTTTTGTGCATTTGAAGAGGGGTGAGATGAATACTTGTAAAAACCGTTGCTTTAATAATGAAGGATACAAATGATTGTAAAAGCTTACGATAGAACCCTTAAAATGGAATCCATCATCATCTGCATCTGCCATTATCAAAATTTTCCCATATCAGGGACTCTTTATTGAATTATATTGTTTATGATCTTTCAAACCAATAATCTTTTTTAAAGCTTGTAATTGCTTATTTTTTTTTATTCGTTCTTCTGATGCATTGTATACATTCAATAAACTGTCCTGCATAGGATAAAAGCCCCAGTTATCATGACTATACATGAAGTCAAAATTAAAACCCCAAAGTCAAAATGTTTTGACTTGAGGCAACTATATAGTAAAAATCAATTTCGACCTTATTTTGACCCTATTTTGACCAGATCTGCAAATGGTCAAAATAGTTTCAACTTCATGTATAATCATGACCTATGACCAGCACACAAAATTTTCTTGTGAAAATTTCGGAAATTTTTTCTGAAATGGATGAAAATATAAAATGATTGTTGGAAATAAATAATAAAATTAAAAGATTTACTGGAAGAATGAAAATTCAGCTGGAAAAAACTGGCAAATTAGAGTACCTTTTGTGTGCTGCCTATGACATCAACACCAGATATTGCTGCTGCATTTGCTGAATCACCTTCAGTTAATACCAACACACAATTAGATGAATATCTTGTTCCTGCATTCCTAGCATCACTAAGCTTATTAACATTGATGGTAGTGGCAGATTCCATACCAAGAACATCAGTAGTGGTAGTAGAATTCATATCATGTTGATTACTTCTTTTTATATTATGTGTGGTTGGTTTCCTTTGTTTCAAAAAATAAAAATAAAATGTTTAGTTGACAATCTGCAAGAGTTGTTGATCAATTTATTATAAAAACTGGAGTGATGATGAATGGCTGCAATTGCAGCAACCACCATTCTTTTTAACTAGAGTGGCAGTAACAGTAGCAACAATCGCATGCAACCACCAACTTAAAAAATACTCTGACTATACTTATGAGGACGAGAATGAAGATGAGGATGAAGACGAGGATGGGTCTGATAAAAATTTGAAATCTTAGTAAACTAGAACATTTCTTAAATAATAACTAGAGTGACATCGAGTAGCAATAACCACCATTCTTATGATAAACAATACTTACCCAGTGGTGTTTGGTACAAAGTGTTGATTTCTTTTCTTGATGTTTTTTTCATTGTTTCTAGGTATTTCTAAAAACAATCAGAAAATTTATTTGATTGACATGTACACAACTGATTATTTAATTACGTGTATTGGTTGTACAAGAATCCCTATTGTTTTTGATCGTCATTTTCACAAAATAAAATTAGCCAATCACAGGAAAAGCCCGCTATGTTTTTTTTCCCACTATGGATTTCTATAAACTTAATGAGGTAGAAGACTGGACATGTATAAAAGTTGTAGAGCATTATCATGCTAATTCAGAACAAAAGGACTGGAAAAAAGTGCTGGATAGTATAAAGAAAGATCTCAAAAAGGTGAAAGAATCAACCTCTGGTTTTGACACAACGCATAAGAGAAAGGCCCAAAGAATCATTGACAACTGGAAAGCATGATTTTTCTTAATAAAATAGAGATTCAAACAAGTTAGGGAAAAGCTGTGACTCTTGGTCTACAGTAATGAACTCTTTGTTTGACACTTTCTTTGCTTTATATTTATGTTTATTGTACAATGATTCTTGTGGGTACTACTAATTCTGTATTTTTATTTTATTAAGGATTGGACTGCATCAATGGACAAGATAGATGATCGTGCACAGTTTAAAATTGAGTTTCAGCAGGTGAACTTCTGACCAAAAGGATGAAAATTTTACAAGACAAAAAATACTAAGTAACATTTCTGTAATTAGGTAAAACAGCAAGTTCTTGCAAGCGAAAATGCTAAACTAATATCACAGACAACTGTTGTATGAAGCACCATCAAGATGTGAATACTGACGTTACAGCTCCAACAAAAAAGGTGAGTTTAAGATTAAAGGTCCTTCCTAAATTTGTATATAAATGAGTATAAACCTTTTGGATGTGTGCATAGGTCAAAACTAGTAGAATTAAAACTCCAGAACGACAAATATATCTGTTAGAACAAAGTATAGAAGACTGTTATGAACAATCAGATTCAGTTGAGGGAAATGAAGAAGATGGCCAACCTTTTTTAATGGTAAGTTCTTGATATAAGGTTTGATTTACTTTTGTTTTGCTCATTCCTAATTTGCATTATGGTCTGCCTTCTTAAAGTCAAATGACCATGATGTAGAGATAACACATGAAGATGACAATAATCCTTTCATAGCAAAGACAGGGGAAGGTTCAATGAAATGCAAGGTTAGTATTAATCGATATTAACATAATCTTTCAAAAATAACAATTTTGACATTAGTTAATTTGATTAATATTATTCAAGGTCGTCTTATCATGGAACCATGCAATCACTAATGTGGTCATAAATAATGACTCTGAAAATGATGTAAGCATTGTGAGAGACATTCATTTTTTTGGTATCTTTATCCTGTTATAGTCTAAAACCTATTCTCTTTTATACAGTGGGTAACACAGGTGGGCACAACATCTCTAGCGATTTTTGTAACTTTCAGTTAAATTCAATTGAAAAGTTGAAAGCTAATCTGACTTTATCATATGAGAAAGAAATTGATTTGATATTGTAAGTATTTTCTATGCAAAGTTATAGATAGAATTTTGGCTATAAAATTTAACTTTGTATATACTTGCAGGTGTCTATTGTCAATTATGTATTGCAATGAATTTAAACCAGAATATATTAAATGTTCTAAAAAGGCATGGAATGAGGCCCTCCCAAGATCATTAGCCCCAAAGATGTTGTTAACAATAGCTCACTCAGTAATGATTGAATACAATATGGTAAGTATCTTCCTGAATGTTATTAATGAGCAATCAGCAAACGCGTTAATTTGTTTATTGGTGTATTAGCTTTTGAATGACAAACAATCACTTAATACAAGATGGCGTGAAAATTGGGCAAAAGGAAATACATTGCTAATGGATGAGGACAAAGATATCTTTGACTGTGTGCAGATAGTTTTGAGAAATTTGTAAGTTCTAAATTTAATAAAAATATTTGTTAATCGTATTATTAGTACTTATTTCTATTTGCCTTGCAGTTTTACCCAGGGTTGGCAAATTGACTGGTCCATTGAGAACTGATGGACTTTGAGCTGGTCTATTGCCATTAATAAAATACTAAATATAGTTAAAATGTTACACTAATGGACCCAATGGACCATCGATGGACCACCAATGGATCACACATTCACCAACCCTGGTTTTACCTATTTATCTTCAATGAGTTATAATGAGAATAAAAAATTGGACGAAGATACATTCATCCATCGATACTGTCACCAAGTTCTTGAAGAAATATTCAATAAAACTGAATACTCATTGATTTGGTAAGTTTCATGTAATTATTAAGTATGCTAACTATATTAATATATACTTACACTACATTTTCATTATTGAAACAAAGGGCTAATGGTGAATCTGAAAGTTCTAAAGCAAGACGTTTATTGGATGGTCACAACCATGGTAGAAAACCAGACTTTTGGATCCTCTCAAAGATCGATGACACCGACAAAGAACTTATATTTGGTGAAATAAAGCCACCACATCATCAGGAAATTTTTCTGTCTCAGATTTACGTAAGTTTACAGCGGGCTGTAATATTATGCAAATAAGCATACAAAAATTATGCAATTATTACATCAAGTATAAATATTACATAATTTTTATGCAAATATTACAACTTTACATATTAAAATTTATGGACGTAATATCACGGCGGGGAAAATTTCCTGATGGTTGCACTGAGACCGTAAATAAAAGCATAATAAAATTAGCAGAGTTCACGAAAGGGTCTTTAGACTTTATTATTAATATGTACGGCTATGTGGTTGGTCTGGAAACGTATGGTATATTAATTTGTGGTAAGCCATCACCATTATAACTTTGCTGACGTTTAGTTACCAAGCTAATCAAATATAAAACCAATAGGGAGCGAAATTAAAATTTTTAGCATGGATTTGGCATATGATGGTCTATACCGTTGTAATCAATTATCGAAAGTATTGCTCCCAACAGAGAACGAATTTTTTAAACATCATCACTGTAGTATCTACTCTATATTCATTATTGGTAAGTTTTACTTCATTGTCTTTAAACAAGTTGCTCCATAGTATATTCTCTAATTATTTTATTTATATAGGAAAGGGTAAAAACATACTATTATTACCCTAAATTCATATCAGCCGTTAACTCAATCATCATTTTCCCATAACTTTTGCCAAAAGTCAACCCATCACCTAAAAAATATGTGTACCGGTAGTTAGAGTTTAGATTATAGATTACTTATATGTACATGTATGTATTAAATAAAAATGTTACAATGCAAAATAATAATATTATCAGACCAAATGCATTATTTTTTTCGTGTATATAAAACAGTTTATTTATATCAATCAATAAAGAATTTTGGTGTATATATCGTATTTTTTTTTTGTGTATATATAATTATGAATACTTTGCATGTATATTTCTGGAATCTTTTCTAATGTATTGATATCGATGCCACATATGATTGAGAATTTTATCTAAATTTTTTTACGGAGTAAAGCCTATATAGCACGTATCTCTGATGATGTTTTTTTTGTTTATGCTAATAAACGTACTTTTGAACAATTAATATTTATGTAAAAACAAACTTCTTAAAAGCAACTCTAAAAGTCATGGCAAATACACAATCTAAAATTGATTTATTAAAAGAAGAGAATTCCAAGCTTATAGCTGAGATTACTGAACTTAGTAAGGAGAATGTTAAAGTCAATGCTGAAAATATTGAGATCAAAGCCGAGAATGCAAAATTAAGACAAGCTTTAGAAGGACATGAAACCAGAATCACGAAACTAGAACAGGGAGAAAAAGAAAAAAGTATTACTAATACACGAAGTGCACTTTTGATGAAAGATGTTTTGCAATCTCCAGTAAACTTTAATGATACTTTTGAACAGATAATCTTACAAAGTGAGGATGCTCTGGTATCTGATATATCTAATAATGCTTCAAATTCTGATGTATGTCAGAAATTTTCAACTTGATGCTATACATCACCTATCTGTACAGAGCCTAAATCATTGGAAGATAAGGAGGTTAATGAATTCCTGGATTCAGTGAATAAAGAAAATGTTTGTAATGAAATAAGAGAAAGAAATTGGGAAAAGAAGCTTCTACATGAATCTGCAATAAATAAAGACTTGACTTCGGATAACATTTTATCAAAGCTATCCAATTATCATGTGACATAAGAACCGCTCCCTCAGGGAACGATCAAATTCAGAAGAGCCAGATTTTCCGAAAACTGAAGTGTCTGAATTGGAGCATGATGGCGAGGTTCATACTTGCCGCCCAAACTCAAAAGGTCCCAATCCCAAATCCCAAATTCCAAAATGGGCAATAGTAGTATATACAGATCAAAACAACAGATATATTCTTTTATTGTCTCATAAAACACATTGTTAGCAAAAAATTTATTGTGAATTTGTTATAAAAAACCATAAAAATACAAAGGTTCAAAAAAAAATTAGCCCATCAAATAATCCAACTTTCTACTCTATTTAATATTTCATCAATATCAATATCAAAATTAACATCACCATGTTCAACAAATTCATCAGTTAAATCACTATCAACATTATTTGTTAATAATTCATGATTTAAGTCAATAAAATTTTCTATGTATAAACGTGAAGTGTTTTCCTCACTTATGTCCAAACATTTATCACTATCATCAGGATCATCAACTAAATTATCACCATATCATCATTAATTATGGCATTTGCTATTTAATCAAATGTATTTAATAATTGTTCTTGTGAAACTTCTGTTTTAACAAATTTCAATTCACTTCGTGCATTTGTAATAGTGTTCTATGTCGCAATCCAAAAAAGGAAACCAAAGTGGTCGCAAAGGTGGTTGCAACCAGGTGTCGCAAACTATTTTTATATGTCGCAAATATGGTTGCAACCATCACCAAGAATTGCGACCAGCATCTATAAGCCCAAGCCCAAATCAATCAAGATGCCAAAACTATTATAAGATTAAAAGCAACAGCATGCATATGTTGTGTCAATTGGCTGTTCCTTGGACAAAACTCGATTTTTCTGAGACAATTTATCAAGTTTATAGCTACAAGGTCTCCCAGAAGCTTATTTCATGGATTTTGATACATGTTTTCTGGACCTGTATGCATCAATTTAATCTGTTTTTATACTACTCAGCTTTCCAATGAAAAAAGGGCTTGTGAAGAAATAGATATGAATGTAATGAATATATATGAACTGAGCAAGCCTGGCATAGAAAGCCAAATAGCAATTTCTTATCTAGATGAGAGCAAAGACCCATTTGAGGCAGACGATCACTAAAAAGCATACTTTTTTCATCAACATTTTAAGGATGGAGTTGATCAAAATAATTTTTGAGAGTAACAACGTTTTATTTCACTTTGAAGGTTAACAAAATAAAAAAACTACAAATAAGATTTATAAATATATATTTCAAGGTGGGACACAATGGCACTTTTGGGGTTTTGGGACAAGCCCCCATGGTATTGTTGGGTGGTTTTAAACGATTCTGCTATATTTTTTTTAGCTTAAAATAAATCTAACCAAAAAACGATTCCTTTTCATTTTCTGTGTACCTTGAATTATGATTGGCTTACATTTTCGTCGTACTTTTTTTTAATCGGATTTTGAGTATAAAAAATGATTTCTTATCGGAAAACAGCCTACGGGAGGCTATAGAATCCTTATTTATCCTATTATCTTTAAGCCGTTTTTGCTTCCTCTAAAGTCTAAAAAGATATACATTCTAGAAACCTAACCAAAAAATTTTTTGTAAAATTAATAGGTTTTTTATGTCCTGAAGCATTTTTAACGGCGTCTCATAATCTAACCAAAAATAGCTGTTAGCTTTTCTTTACATACCAGGAATAGCCTCAAAAGCATTTTTACAAAAAATTGTCCATGGAAAAAAACAGAAAAAAACGGCTCAGAGCAAATTCCTAATAAACAAAATTTATAACACACTAAATCTAACCAAAATTTTCCTAAACTAAATAAGCTTTCTCATGCAATATGTAAAGCACATTGTCCACAAGCAGAAGCAGTTGGTTTAGCACAATCAGTACAAGGAATATGTTTTTTACTTTTATAATGATGTTGACAACCTTCAGGTCTAATACAAGGACTATTACAAGTTTCTCCAGAATTGTGGAGATAATTACATGTATATTCTGCTATCATTTTGTAAAAAGGCTATACAGATAATCATATATTTTTTATATGTTTAAT